TTGTGTGGCACTTGTTGTGTTGTGTGGCACTGTTGTGTGGCACTGTTGTTGTGTGGCACTGTTGTTGTGTGGCACTGTTGTTGTGTTGTGTGGCACTGTTGTGTGGCACTGTTGTGTTGTGTGGCACTGTTGTTGTGTGGCACTGTTGTGTATGTTGTGTGGCACTGTTGTTGTGTGGCACTGTTGTGTTGTGTGGCACTATTGTTGTGGCACTGTTGTGTGGCACTGTTGTGTTGTGTGGCACTTGTTGTGTGGCACTGTTGTGTTGTGTGGCACTGTTGTTGTGTGGCACTGTTGTTGTGTGGCACTGTTGTTGTGTGGCACTGTTGTTGTGTGGCACTGTTGTGTATGTTGTGTGGCACTGTTGTGTATGTTGTGTGGCACTGTTGTTGTGTGGCACTGTTGTGTATGTTGTGTGGCACTTGTGTGGCACTGTTGTGTTGTGTGGCACTGTTGTTGTGTTGTGTGGCACTGCTATTGTGTTGTGTGGTACTGTTGTTGTGTGGCACTGTTGTGTGGCACTGTTGTTGTGTGGCACTGTTGTGTTGTGTGGCACTGTTGTGTTGTGTGGCACTGTTGTTGTGTGGCACTGTTGTGTGGCACTGTTGTTGTGTGGCACTGTTGTGTATGTTGTGTGGCACTGTTGTGTTGTGTGACACTTGTTGTGTGGCACTGTTGTTGTGTGGCACTGTTGTGTTGTGTGGCACTGTTGTTGTGTGGCACTGTTGTGTTGTGTGGCACTGTTGTTGTGTGGCACTGTTGTGTATGTTGTGTGGCACTGTTGTTGTATGGCACTGTTGTTGTGTGGCATTGTTGTGTTGTGTGGCACTGATGTGTTTTGTGGCACTGTTGTTGTGTGGCACTGTTGTGTGTGTTGTGTGGCACTGTTGTGTTGTGTGGCACTGTTGTGTTGTGTGGAACTGTTGTTGTGTTGTGTGGCATTGTTGTGTGGCACTGTTGTGTTGTGTGGCACTGTTGTGTTGTGTGGAACTGTTGTTGTGTTGTGTGGCATTGTTGTGTGGCACTGTTGTGTTGTGTGGCACTGTTGTGTGTGTTGTGTGGCACTGTTGTGTTGTGTGGCACTGTTGTGTTGTGTGGCACTGTTGTTTGCCACGTTTAACATAGTTGTTAGTAACATGTGACGCCGTCATCTGTGAGGTGACACGTCTGCGTTAAGCGTGACAGTGTTGTCAGTGACGTAACGCTAATCTTTGTAACTTATATGTCGTATAAGTAACGAAATACTAGTAGACTGTGGTTTACAGAACAAGGGTGACGGTTGAGGGGAGGGGGGGGGGACGGTATACGGACGGCCGGACGGGCGAACAAGTACTCGCTCAAATTAATTACTCTCCAAAATTACGGTCGCTTGGAACTGTGTTCGCTGAAGAAGTTTGGTTGTTCACAGGTGACTCCCTGCTGCCTGGAGCTCACTAAGCCTGTTGGGCCACGGTGAACGAGGCTCCGTGTACAGCCTCTCACCTCTCACTCAGCCGAGTGGCACCTTTCTCACTCAGCCGAGTGGCACCTCTCTCTCACTCACATGTTTCCAAGATCGCGAACTGGTTTTTTTCGATGTAAACAAAGCCATCATACTTGTTGAAAGATGTACAGGTTTCGTATATGGTTGCGTAAATGCTTGATGAATCCTGGCTGGGAGCTTTTGCACCTTTGTTTTCTTAGTGTGTAAAGGGTTGCTACAGAGGTGCAAGGTCAGGGACTTGTGTATACTCATTCAGGGACTGAATGATGCTGTGTATTTACTATTTGTATCTGCAGAATCGAGCTATTGCTCTTGGTCCCCGCCTATCTAACCAATTATTTTTTCCTCTATTATGTCTATTACATATATTTCTCTCTAACACACGCGCACATACATACAAACTACACACAGTTTCAAGTGTAGATATGATAGAGCCCAATAGGCTCAGGAACCTGTACACTTGTTGATTGACGGTTGAGAGGTGGGACCAAAGAGCCAGAGCTCATCCCCCGCAAGCACAATTAGGTGAGTACATCCCCAGGAAGCAGCTGTCTAACTCCTAGGTATCTATTTATGCTTGGCGAACTGGTGCATCAGGGCGAAAGAAACTCTGCCCATTTGTTTCCGCCTCCGTCGGGGATCGAACCCGGGTCCACTAGGACTACGGCCGCAGAGCGCAGTCCTTTCAGCCGCTGTGTGTGTGAGATGTGTGTGTGTGTGTGTGTGTGTGTGTGTGTGTGTGTGTGTGTGTGTGTGTGTGTGTGTGTGTGTGTGTGTGTGTGTGTGCGCGTGCGTGCGTGCGTGCGTGCGTGCGTGCGTGCGTGCGTGCGTGCGTGCGCTCGCTCGCTCGCTTTTCAAGTATGTGATCAGCCCGTTCTCTCTATTTTTCCACTCTGTAAAATACTACTGTTTTACCTAGCCCGGAACATACGAACCCAAGCTGCACATCAGAGCAGCAGGGTATTTGATGACTCCACGTTTCGCGAGGAAGAAATTAACTTCCCCAAACAGGGACATTTACCGACCGGAGAGAGAGATCAAAGGCCGGTCCTGCGCTATGCTTCTTTAAGGGCTACAGAACACAAGTAGAGAAACAGATCACTACTAACAAAACGCGGAAGGTAAAATTACTTGATACAACAGACGAAAACTAACTGAGACAACACATCACTGTCAACAAAGGCCAGAGGAGAAGACCCAACAGCTAGTCCCCTTGTCATCTAGAATTAGGCGAATATTCAGAAAATAGAATTCGAGTAACCACTAGACGCCAGCAACCATGACAGAGTTGGAGAGGACAGTGGAGGCAAGGGAGGAGGGTAAACACAGGCACGGGCTATGAAAGGCACGACATAAAAGCAGGCAAGAGAGCAAGAGACTATGTTGAAGGCCACGTCAGAAAATGAATCTGAGGAGAATGACCCGAAATAAGATCAAGGGATATGTAGCGTATAGATGTAGAGAAACCAAGAATACATTTATTCTATTGAGGAAGAAAGTGGACGAGAAGGGGGCAGAATGACCTCATGGTTGGTTTAACACAGAGCAACGGACGGCAGGGCCAGGAAAAAAATATCGGGGACAAAAAAGAGAACAGGAATAGTTGAAAATAACCAAAAAGAGCACACAAGTAAAACAAAAAATATGCAACTACATAGCTCCATAAGCACAGGATCAACCCTAGCACAAATAGGCAAATGCAATATTTTTGGTTGAACTTCATACAGGTAAAATTATGAAAGATATCATGAGCACACTGAAAATATACTTCCTTTGGGAACAATGTCAGAGTCATACAGGAGGGAGACAGCGCCTTACGGTAACGACCAATCCGTCAAAAATGCGCCGTACTAGTAATAATTAAAGCATCGGAATACTGACTTTTTTATTCATCAAGTTCGATGGGTTAATTCGGGTGCTTTGGTTCGTATGTTAGGCAATACAGTTACTTTTTTTACGTAGTGGCAAAGAACGGGTTGGATTAGCGTTGTCTTGTGCAGCAGGACCCAGGTGGGGCCTCGCCAACCTTCCCGGGGACGTGTGGGGGCCAAGCCCAGGCCCCCGATCTCTTAATCTAATCAATTTGTTTCTTACTAGGAAGGTGCTGATGGGTTTTGTCTCATTGTCAGGGAGGAAGGAGCCCGGCCCGTTCTTCCCCAGGGTACCAACCCCCACAAACCCCTCCCCGACCAATCCACCCCTTCCCCCGACCATCCACCCCTTCCCCCACCATCCACCCCTTCCCCCACCATCCACCCCTTCCCCCACCATCCCCCCTTCCCCCACCATCCACCCCTTCCCCCACCATCCACCCCTTCCCCCACCATCCCCCCCTTCCCCCACCATCCACCCGTTTCCCCACCATCCACCCGTTTCCCCACCCATCCACCAACCCCCTCAACCCTGCCCGTCCGGCCATCCATCCTTGGATTCTTCGCGACTATTTCATCCTTTCCCCTTGGCGAGGTTTTGTAAAAATACGATTACCTTTACATGAATTACTGTATGATTTGAAATTAATGAATAATGTATAAAGTACAAGGGTGACCTGTGAATCCACAAGTCTTATTATGTAAAAATAATTATGTAAAATATTGTATAAAGTACCAGGGTGACTTTGTGTGGTGTACTTGGCGTGGGTGGATAGACCGGTGGTGGGTGTGGTGGATGGGTGGTGGATGGGTGGACCGGTGGTGGGCGGGCTTAGGACCGGTGGTGGGCGGGCTTAGGACCGGTGATGGGCGGGTGGACCAATAAACAAGCCGTAACATCGTGCGAGGAGTTAGTGCAACAAGACACATTTCCCCGCACCAGCAATAACAAATTGCTCAATATCTGTAGTGTAGGATATGGATGGGATTCCTAGGAGTTTTTCTCTCCTGATATATTCTATCCTCGCCCAGCTGGGACGCCACCTGCCAGTCCACGCTCCCAGCTGGGACGCCAGCTGCCAGTCCACACTCCCAGCTGGGACGCCAGCTGCCAGTCCACGCTCCCAGGTGGGACGCCAGGTGGGACGCCAGCTGCCACTCCACGCTCCCAGCTGGGACGCCAGCTGCCACTCCACGCTCCCAGCTGGGACGCCAGCTGCCACTCCACGCTCCCAGCTGGGACGCCAGCTGCCACTCCACGCTCCCAGCTGGGACGCCAGCTGCCAGTCCACGCTCCCAGCTGGGACGCCAGCTGCCAGTCCACGCTCCCAGCTGGGACGCCAGCTGCCAGTCCACGCTCCCAGCTGGGACGCCAGCTGCCAGTCCACACTCCCAGCTGGGACGCCAGCTGCCAGTCCACGCTCCCAGCTGGGACGCCAGCTGCCAGTCCACGCTCCCAGCTGGGACGCCAGCTGCCAGTCCACGCTCCCAGCTGGGACGCCAGCTGCCAGTCCAATAATCGGAAAAGACAAATTCGTGTTTTTGCCCTCCCCCCTCCGTTACCCCCAACCGTGAACTCGGGAACATGTGGTAGATCGAGGTACTCACCGTGTCATCACACCCATGTGGCAGTTCGAGGTACTCACCGTGCTTCTGAGCCCAGTCGATGATGGAGGTGACGCCGGCGGTGTAGGAGGACATGCAGTCCTCGAACTTGCCCCTATGGTCGAGGCCCAGCGTGTTCACGTTGGCCTTCACACCGCACAAGAGCGCCGTCGCGCACGCCGAAGAGTCCCCGATCTGGGCGTCGATGTTGTACGTCTGTGGGACCAAAGAGAGACGTGGTTACACACCTGACTGGTACCTTACTACACCACATGTGAGACGTTACACATGTGGCTTTTATGGTGCTACAGGCAAGACGTGACACATGTTCATTTGGATGAAGTTAAACAACAGGACTTAAGGTTTACATACTCAACCGGTTAATGCTTCATAAGCAAGCAAATGCCGGTCGGTTAATTATAGAAACACAAGCTGGATAAAATATCCGTATATAGAAATGAAAAATAAATATAGGTTTAAAAACAGTTTTACAAAACAATATATTCTTAAATTTCTGGATCAAGTTTATATAAGCTGTGTGATTGGTGAACAATAAACCCAATTTACACAGTTTATTTATTTTGATATTTTTCCCTAATAAGATTTTGTATATATTCTCATTTGTGAATATTTTAGAATTTTTTTTTAGGAAGTGTGAATCTACAGTATGGCTCCGACTGTCTTAATTAAGCAAAGGGGACTGGTAACACAGCGCCATAAACATCACGCTAATGGAGTTGTGTTGATATTGGTCAAGAAACCATTAGACGCTGTAGCCTAGAAGCCTTCCTTGGGTGAATGAGCATCTATAGAATTACCAGCAAGCATTTGAAGCACCTAATTATACGCAACATTATATTATTATACACACTCCACCCTCCTCCTCCGCCACAACCTACCACCTGCCCATCCCCTTCTCCCCCCCCCCCCAATCCTATCATTCCCCCCCCCCCCCACTAACCACTTAACCACCGCCCCCAACCAATCACATGAGGAACCTTCACCCTCCCCCCCCTACCCCACAAGCTATTCAACACTCCCTTCCGCAAGTTCCACAACATTTCCAATATTGTTTACCAAATATGTACCAGGCAATTGAGGTTTAGTTTAAACAAATTTAATGCTTATGAATGAAAGGAGTTTGTGCCAAGTGAGCATTAAATTTCCGATTGAATAGGGCCCACGAACTCCATAGTTGGCGTTCGTGGGTCCTCTGTGCTCTCTGGAACACACTTTATATATTTTTTATTTATAAATAATTACTGTTACTAATTATTTTAGCAACTATTTATAAATAGTTACAAAGGATGAAAAATTACGTGTGTGTCGTCTTAAAGGCTTTGGTCGCCGGAGGAAGAGGAAGCCAATGAGAAAGAGCGAGAGAAGAGCAAATTTATCCTTCATTTTTGGGAATACACCATCGGGGTTGAGTTGCGAAGGACTCGTACCAAGAACAGGAATTTCGGTGAAAATCCTTATATATGACTAGACCTTCAGTGGAATTAACACATCCCAACAAACAACGTAACCACAACGGATTTTTACGTTGTAACGTTAAATAAAAAATGGTAAAAGTTACGTTTTTAATTATATATTTTTTTCTTCCTGAGAGAATAATTATATACGAGGAGCTAATGATTCACTGCATCACAAGCGCAATTTCACCGCCGCCGTTCTCATTGGGTCACTTAAATTGACACGTTTGTTGTTGTTTTAGATTTAGCTACTGAGTTCACTATAGCTACTACGGGTTCACTATAGCCCGTCCATGTAGCACGGGCTATAGTGAACCCGTAATTGAGTTCGGTTATTTGCAATAACCTTGTTGCTATGATATTTGGGTCAAAGATTTAAATGGAGGTGGGGTTTCCTCCTTTTTTCCCTGTTTCTTTTCCGCTTCTGTTTTAGCGCATTGGTTTAGTCTTGTATTTAATAACATTATCTTGGTGGCGGATATAGATGCACAGTGTTCACTAGTGTGTCCCATTCTTCAACTGTTTTTCTAATCATTGTAGTCGCTGAGGAATTTGCATCTAATGCAGCTGCTGTCGTTGGATTAAGGTTGAGTTTGATGTGCAGGGTTTCCGTTGCTTCACATTGCAATCCACACGAGAGGGTCAGGTACGGGGCTTTGGGATTATGGAAGACCTGGTACAGTTAGGCCATGAAGCTCGCCCCGCCCACTGAAGCAGTCATGATGGTGTAGAACCAGTCGCTGTGACCACATTATACTGAGAGACAATGGAAGCTGTGTAGTGACGACCATTGTATTAATAATGTGACATTCATATTAGCTCCGTTGCACAGTGTATGAATAATCTGTTGTTGTATATATTATAGTGATATCTTTCACATTACAGAGTGACTGGCCGTATATACTGATGATGGCGAGAACTGTCATATTATATAATTTAAAGTATTTTATCATCATTCTGATACACACCGATGGTTACGTGTCGAGTGAAGATACATAATATAAAACACTCCAGAGCGCAAATTTTATATAAATTCATCCACGTCCAGTATATTCGTATATACTAGACGTGTTCTTGAGGGACCCTTCATATATGTTAATTATAAGACCTTGAAAGCTAATGATGTTTATTTACATTATCTTCCTCGGGTTATTAATTACTTGACCAGGGATAATTAAGTGCCCAGAACGGGTGGACGGGTGGAAAATATCCTTACTTCTCATATCTGTAGGTTGGGTGACAATAGTAATTATCTGTTGGTATCAGATATTGACTGGAACTAAATGGGAAATATCCCCAGGTACAGAGAGAGAGAGAGAGAGAGAGAGAGAGAGAGAGAGAGAGAGAGAGAGAGAGAGAGAGAGAGAGAGAGAGAGAGAGAGAGAGAGACAAGAGAGAGACAGAGAGAGAGAGAGAGAGAGAGAGAGAGAGAGAGAGAGAGAGAGAGAGAGAGAGAGAGAGAGAGAGAGAGAGAGAGAGAGAGAGAGAGAGAGAGAGAGAGAGAGAGAGAGAGAGAGAGAGAGAGAGAGAGAGAGAGAGAGAGAGAGAGAGAGAGAGAGAGAGAGAGAGAGAGAGAGGGAGAGAGACAGAGAGAGGCAAAAACAGAGAGAGAGAGAGAGAGAGAGAGAGAGAGAGAGAGAGAGAGAGAGAGAGAGAGAGAGAGAGAGAGAGAGAGAGAGAGAGAGAGAGAGCCAGCGTGCCCGCCTCGCTACACACACTCCCAACCTCATTATACCTTCAACAACTTGCACGTAACGTGTTTTGCGTGAGAGTGTGACCTGTTGTGGCAGCCTATTAAAGTTTAATGCATATATCATGACACTAACCCACCCGCGGCTATGAATCCCTCGGGCTCACACACTCTAGGCCGGGGTCAGGGGTCAGAGGTCAGCTGGACGTGGCACGACAAAAAGATATAAAGTTATAATATATCTTTTTTGACAAAAATACATTTGCAATTTTGACTACACAGTAATTCAGTCACCTTTTTATTGTAGTGAGGATGTTGTTCATATTCACTACCACACAGGACAGTGAAGGTGCTGCTCATATTCACTACCACACAGGACAGTGAAGGTGCTGCTCATATTCATTTCAACACACAACAAAATAGATAACACAGTAGGTCTGCTCATACATATATATATATATATATATATATATATATATATATATATATATATATATATATATATATATATATATATATATATATATATATATAAAGCAATTTGAATGGTCCCAAACCAATGTACAACTGTAAACCCTATGACCCTTCCACGATTCGAACCTGGTCTGCCAGTATAAAATATCACTGGCAGTTCAATACTATAACCTGCGACTGTTTAGACAATTGCTGGCTGACTGGTTTGGTCAGGTCGGTTCAGGTCGGTTCTGGTCAGTTCTGGTTTAAAATAAGTGTTGAATGTACCTATCAATGCATAAAAAAATGTGAATTTTTTGTTAATAATTTCTGCTCATTACGAAACTCTGACTAACAAGCCGGATCTCATTAAAAATTATTTTGTAAAAAAAATATTTCAACTTGTGAAATGGCCGAGATGTTAAATGTAATAAATATGCCGTTTATATATATATATATATATATATATATATATATATATATATATATATATATATATATATATATATATATATATATATATAAAATTTGAGATGAGAGATAAATCCCATTTTTCAAGTTATCATAGGTTACCAAACCTTGAGGTTACCTTGAGATGTTTCGGGGCTTAGCGTCCTCGCGGCCCGGTCCTCGACCAGGCTTCCTCGTTGCTGGACTAGTCAACCAGGCTGTTGGACGCAGCTGCTCGCAGCCTGATGTATGAGTCACAGCTTGGTTGATCAGGTATCCTTTGGAGTTGTTTATCAAATTCTCTCTTGAACACTGTGAGGGGTCGGCCAGTTATGTCCCTTATGTGTAGTGGAAGCGTGTTGAACAGTCTCGGGCCTCTGATGTTGATAGAGTTCTCTCTCAAAGTACCTGTTGCACCTCTGCTCTTCAACGGGGGTATTCTGCACATCCTGCCATGTCTTCTGGTCTCATGTGATGTTATTTCTGTATGCAGGTTTGGGACCAGCCCCTCTAATATTTTCCACGTGTAAATTATTATGCATCTCTCCCGCCTGCGCTCAAGAGAATACAGATTTAGGCACTTTAGTCGGTCCCAATAGTTTAGATGTTTCACTGAGTGGATTCTAGCAGTAAAGGATCTCTGCACGCTCTCCAGGTCAGCAATTTCTCCAGCTTTGAAAGGGGCTGTCATTGTGCAGCAGTACTCCACTCTAGAGAGCACAAGCGTCCTGAAAAGTATCCTCATCGGTATAGCATCTCTAGTGTGAAAGGTTCTTGGTATCCAACCTGTCATTTTTCTTGCAGTTGTGATGGCTACTTTGTGTTCTTTAAAGGTAAGGTCTTCCGACACGAGTACACCCAAATCCTGTACATCGCCTTTTCGTTCTGTCATGATTTGACTGAGTTTTGTACGTGGTTTCCGTTTATATATTTTAATTCTTTCCGTAGCGCATGAGCTGGAACTTATCTTCGTTAAAAACAACATTATTTTCTGTAGCCCATAGAAAGACTGGTTAGGTGAGTACATCTAGGCGAGAACAGACGCCTCCCAAGATCAAACAATAAACGCACTAGTGATAATGTGTTAGACGGTCGTAATTACTTCGACACGCCAGAGATGAACCATTGCAGTCATTGATATGAATAAT